CACTAAGTAGAACTAAGTTTGTCATTTTCTAGGAGATTTGGTACTCAGGTTCTCTGGTTCCCACGTTGGCAGTACACCGAGTAGAAATGTTCTCAGTCAGTATGCCGCATTTTGGCTGGGATTGATTTACTGATGATCAAAATGTGCCCTTTTAAAAACAATAATTAATTTTAGGGGATTTTTAAATTGTATTTTGAATAAGATTAAAAGTGCTTCAAAATGTTTTTTTATAGTATTTATAATTCTACAATGGGATTATAGTTTTGAAGCAAGTGTAACTGTTAGAAAAACCTCCTATGATAAGGAGTAAATAAGGAAAACTGATAAGGAAAAGCCCCTGGGTAAGATTAAACTGGATTTAACTTATGAATATTACCATATCGGTAGCTGTCACTGGGTGGGCTGTTAATTGCTTTCCCATCATGGTTAAGTTTACGCATCAATGTAGTATCTCTAGGTCCTTTAAAAATTAGTTGCTTTTCACCAGTACTATAACTCAAATCTTAATGCTGGAAAAGCTTGGATTCTTGCCAGATATTAATATCTTCAGAGACCCTTAAAGCTGTTGACCTCTTTTTTTGCCAGGAGCAATTAACTGAGAATTAAAGCTGAAGAAATTCTTCTGTTATTTGGAGATCATTGACCAGGCTGTGTAACTGCTTTGGTCTGCTGATAAACTATGCACAGACTCCCATGTTTCCTCTTGGGCTTTGGGTGAAAGTGGAGAATTGCACAGTCTGCACAGTAAACCTGAGCAAGAAACCTCACAGAAGAGAAGCATGGGTGGCAAGGAATAATTAGGCCGACCCTGGAACAATTTAATTGAAAGTTGCAATATTGCTATTCTGAAAGCCAGGAAATGAGGATGATGGAATTTATGGAGCCAGAACTACCAAAAGGCATCACAGTGAGCATTACTGTTAAGCAAAATAAACTTTTCTCTAACCTTTTCAGATTCTCATATTATTTTGATTATTAATATTATCAGAATGATATTATTCATTAATATTATTTGAAGTGTCTGCTATTTTTTATTTTAGTTAGAGTTTAAAATAATCGGTATGTTAGCAAAATTCCAGTGAGGAAGCTGCATTGTACCTAACTTGTGTGTGTTATATCATAGAACGCACAGAAGGAGATAATGAATCAGTAAAATATGATATAAAGGCTTTACCAGCATGTATGAGACATTTGCTACATAAGCTATGCACAGCAAAGCCACAAAAGTATGAAATCTTTCCAAACTATGCAGTCCAGAAATACAATCCCTATGCTGCACTACCAATTCTTCTACTGCACTATCAATTGCTCACTATAAGTCACACATTAGAAAAGTATTTTGCAGAAAGTTTACAGAGGTTGAAGTCTTTATGGATGACTGGAAACAACTACATTGAAAACTGGAACAAGCAATAAAAGATGAAGAAAACATCATAGAATCATACAATGGTTTGAGTTGGAAGGGACCTTAGAGATCATCTAGTTCCAAACCCCCTACCATGGGCATGGACACTTTCCACTAGATCAAGTTGCTCAAAGTCTCATCCAACCCGGCTTTGAACACTTCCAGGGATGGGACATCCACGACTTCTTGAGGCAACCTCTTCCAATGCCTCACCACTCTCAGATGGAAGAATTTCTTCCTCAGATCTAATCTAAATCTACCCTCTTTCAATTTAAAGCTATTGCCCCTTGTCTTATCACTACACACCCTTGTAAAAAGTCCCCCTCTAGCTTTCCTGTAGGCCTCCTTTAGATACTGGAAGGCTGCTAGAAGGTCTCCCCAGAGCCTTCTCTTCTCCAGGCTGAACAACCCCACCTCTCTGCCTGTCTTCATAGGAGAGATGCTCCAGCCCTCAGATCATCTTTGTGGCCCTCCTCTGGACTCTCTCCAAGAAGTCCATGTCCTGCTTGTGTTGGAGGCAGATGGAGCAGTACAGATTGCTTAGGACAGGACATAAGGGATGCTAGCTTGGGATACAGGCAAAAAATGTGTATACTTTTCTCTCTACAGCCTGGGGCAGGAGCCAAGGTTACTGATTCTCACTACTCTTCCAGTATCAGCAAATATGTTTGAAAAACACCGGCAATGTTCCCCACCTGCTCCTGGTGCCAGTCCATGCAAAGCGTTACACCTTTTACCGCGGTTTGCTACCACAGTAGTTCAGGTGACCTTTACAGCGGATATCAAAAGTTCCCATGGTGGCTGGTGGCATGACAGAGGGCCAGTAGAATCCCACATCATGGAATTTCTGTTTTTCCGCTTGTTCATTTTAAAAGCAAGGAAATTGTACCCCCAAAACCTCACACAGAAATATAATAGATGTAAATGAAGTACTTCACAGTTTAAAAAATTCCAAAATCAAGATCGCTTATGTAGCCTTAGTTTAGCTGTTCTGTGCACAAGCATTATCATTTACATGATCACATCTTCTTCCATCTTAGGCAGAGAACAAGAGCATTAATGAGAGCTGTATTAAGGATGCTGCCATTCACAGGACTTACTTCTCTGCTTTCAAATATATGTGAGAAATGTGAAGATGCTTTATTTCTCTCTGTACCAATTTCATCAGGATGGCTAAGAGGTAGAGAACAATAAAAATATAAATGTGATGGAGGCAGGAAATGGGCTGATTAGACAAGGAGCTTGAGACAGGGAGCAACGTAGAAAAAATGATGAGGGAAAAATAGGACAGAGTGATTGGACCAAGGGGAAGCAGAGACTGATCAGAGTTTTGAGGGAGGAGAAAGGATAGTCCCATTGCTGTTCTAGAACACTGGACTTTATTCTGCTTTTTCTGTGGAGTTCATCCCTTTTCACAAAGAGTCAATCACTCATTATGTAAAACTGCCAACTTCCCACAGCTCCGAGTGAATTCAATGGGTACTTGGCCTTGTACAGATACAGATCTCTACAGTGAGAAGAACTGACAAATTTAGTCCTAGAAGTCTCAAACTGAGCAATCAAAATTCTATGCATAGATTTTCTGGCTTTAAAATGAGGGCAATACTAACCCGACTTACTTCAGTGTATAATTGCAGGTGAAAATAAATTAATTCCTTTAAACCCATGATAAATTAATTAGGAAACACTCCGATGCAATGGTAGTGACAAACATGTGAGTAAATTAGTAGTTACATCCTGAAAGTACAGTCTGAGAAAAGTGCAGTGAATAGCAGACAGGGCCACACATGGGATAATGAGGAAAACAGTAGAAATTCATTCGTTGCTTATGCAGTGATTACTGTCTGCCCTGTGCAATGAATTACTTTATCCTATGGAAAAATAATGTGATCAGAAAATGAAGAATTGCCTTGTAATTAAAATGCAAAAGAGAAATGAATTAAGTTAGCCTGCTTAGAATTCTGGCATTTCCTAACTTTTGAATTCACTTAACAGAGTTTTCACGTGTTCAATAGGTAATATGATAACTGCTAAATAAATAACTTATGCTAAATGCTAAATCCATAATAGATGTTAAACCTAAAAATATAACTTTAAATATGACTTAATGTTGTTCTCTTTGCTTAGGCAAAACTTGAAATAGGTAGAGAGAATGGCATGAGACAGGGGTGTGGCCTCAAGTTCAAGGTGGTTTTTTTTTTCTTACTGGTCTGCATTAGGTAGGCTTGATTTCAGATGCTTGAGGAAAGCAGAGGAGATGGGGTAATTCAGGAACACCTTCCTAATACAAGTGGAAACTTTATAAAGGGCTAGAGCAGCAAAGTATGTGCTTAAAGTATTATTCATGCTGCCCAAAGAGTCTTGTCTGTGTTTTGTTTATGTAATTACATTTCCTGGAACATCTACCACTTGACCCATCCCAACCCAAAATCCAGGTCCAAATCTGAGTTTCTCTGGGGTTATGTGCCCCTGCCTTACTCTGCTTATACTTGCATGTTTTCCCTGATCTCATTTACATCCCTTGCCCTTGCATATCACGTAGCCTTCTAGCAGCAGATACTAGCATGATCCAAACTAGTTATAAAAAGCTATTTTGGACTGGATAGGACATAAATTGTAAATTTTATACCAATTGTTTGCATCTAGTGACTAGATTAGCTAAGCCTAGAAACCAGTTTTACTTCAGCAGCTTTCTCATGCTTGCTTTCTTATCTTTCCCATGCTTTATAGTTGTTTTTTTCATCAAGGTATGTACTGAACTCAAGTAATGCTATTTAAGGCACTCATGTATGGTAAAGAGAGCATATTGCTTAGCATGGCAGCATAAGCTCTCTACTCATATCCCTACAGAATTTTCCTTTCACTTGTGAACATCTTTCCACGTTAACCATAGTACCAACTCAGGAGTACCACTATCTCATGGCACTAGCAAATGCTACAGTTCTTCCACATACAGAGTTTCAATCAACCAGGAAGATAGATCAAAGCTAAGTCTCACGATTCCCTAACGTTCATTGCTCACAACTGTCACTCCAAAGAACTGAAAGGAATTGTAAAGAATGCATTTTAAGTAGGGGAATAACTAAGTAAACACTAAAAACCATAGTCAAATGAAAAAATGCATTAAGCTGATAACTGTGATACAAACCTGGGGAAAATTATGAAAGCATTAGGGACAAACAAATTGTTTTCTCTTCCCTCCAATCTATGTCTGAGAAACTTCAGCACTTTACTGAGTGTATCATCAGAGGTATTTCGTCAGTCTAATTGCATAAGAATTTTCTATTCTAACTAGCAAACTCAAATGTTCAGAAAATAATTGAATAGGAATTGAAACACTTGGAGGAAATTCCAGAAGTTCTGACTTTTGTCCATCCCTATCACCTAATGAATACACAAAAGAAAATTCTATGTCAACACTTATGTATAGAGCCAGCCTGTACAGAATTGCTAGAGACTTCAACAAATGTTCCAAGCAGGATCAGCGCCTTCTGTAGCAGCTCTCCAGACAGCCTTTCTAATTTCTGATACAATTATACACAATTTGCAGTCAAATAAATATTTATAAAGAAAATATTTGTTCTGTATATCTTACTTGAGTTCTTGTGAGCTTGTGGCCAGCATACTTCGAATGCTTTTGTCAGCCAAGGGGCAGCCAGATAAACTGTAAGACATGGCAGGACATACAAGTAAGTTAATCTTCTTATTAACTGAACACTCCCAAACAAACACAACATAAAAATTAAAAAGTAAAAGTTTGTAATGCAGAAAAGCGATGGGGCAAGTGCTGTAATATTGAATTTTGTAATATAGTTAACCCTCTGAATATATTTAGGTATCAACATTACTTCCAAAATTACATACTGTAAATGTTCTTTTTGTTTGTTTGCTTCTCTATGAACTAGTAAAATGTAACAAAAAATATTTGAGATTCCTGGGTTAACTACTTAAATGCTTAAGAATACTTTGGAAATTTTAGTAATCTATTTCAAAATAAAAGACGTTTATACAACACACAAATTAGCATGCTTTTAAGATCAACATATATTACTCAAAGGGTTAACACATAGTTCAACGTTTTACTTTGACAGCATTGTTGAGGTAAGCTGAAAACAATAAATTGAAAAGACAGAATCCACCATGAAAAAAATGAAGTCACACCTTCTATGTGAGGCGTAATTACCAGTCACATGACCACTCCCATCACACCCTGGTGTTGGACATCTGCCACCAAACAAAAACAAAAACAGCCAAAATAGTAAGTATGTTTAAAAAAAAACTTTTAAAAGTTTCATTGTTTCCAGTTTAGCTGCAATGACTGCAAGGGGTTTTAAGCATCCTAATCGAAAAGCTGCAAAATGAACAGGTTTAAATGAAAATGGCGTCTCAATACAATATCGCATCATTAAGAACAAGCAAATACACATTAGCTTATCACTTTACTTAACTGGCAGTTCGAAACATTTATATGCTGCAAATGTTGCATGCTCATACTGCAAGGCGCGTATGTACTCGGTTGTTTAGAAAAAGACAGAGAAAAGGTTAAAAGGAGAAAAATAATTTCACCTCACATTATGCTTACGTTATTAAATCCTTTTTGCTCTCTTTGCATTGAGGGTATTTGGGTTTAGGACTTGGGATTGTAACTTCACCAGGATACCTTCTTTCTTCAAGGGCCTCTTGGAAAGGATCCAAATCTTCTGGCTACAGGCAAACACGTACGCATTAGTTTCAGCTAGGTCAGGTTACGACTTACACAAAAGAATGCAAAGCAGAGTCATCAGATGTTACCTCCTTTATGCTATTCTGCCAGAGAAAATTAATTAAATTATTTCATATTCCTTTACCTATTGAACTTTTAAAGCCATTGCCCCTTGTCTTATCACTACATGCCCTTGTAAAAAGTAAAAAAAAAAAAATAATTTGGATATTTCAATGAAGCCTCCACAGTATGTGGAATATATAGTGTATTTGACTAGAAAAGAAAAAAGAAGGGCAAAATAACGACTGCATCTATAGCTGTCATATTATTTTGCTTGAAAAGAATCAGTATTTTTTCCTAAAGTCACCACAAAACAGAGGAAAGGGAAAGAAGATGACTAAATACAGTTATCTTATGCATCAAAAAGCCATTTTAAATAACATTTTTAACAGTTTAGAGCATCTGAAAGATGAAACAGGAACAATATTAATATCTACACACAGAATCTCAATCCCAGGCAAACCTCAATGGATCTGTCTGGCAAAATAGAATTATATCAATTTGTAATGAACTTTACTGATGCTTCCAGAAATTCAAAACCATCTATTCGAGGAATAAAGTGGCTGAATGCATTGATTTAGCAATTCCTGCAGATGGTGCTATAAACACCACAGTAGAATAGGGAGTTCTGCTCGTTCTGAAAAAAACAGCTATACTGTCTGTTTTACCTCACATTTCCTTGACAGTGACAGATTTCCTCCTAATTTCAGTGAAATTAATAGCAAAATTGTAATTAACACCAAGCTAGAATGCATTCGGTATATCTAGTGAAAATGCCACTTCGTTATATGTTTCAAAGTTACTCAAAATAGTTTTATGTTTTAATTAAAATTGGCAAGGCATGTGCTATACACAAATGATTAGCCTAATTTTCCGTTATAAACCAAAAAAAACCAGAGAATAATCTCTAGAAGTCTCCAAATGGCTGAATTGCATTGTAGACTACACGGAGGACAAGGTTGAAACCTGATGAACAAAAGCAGTGACTTTAAAACTTGTCAGCAGACCTCTTCAGTGTCCTCGCTGTGCTAAGCTTTGAAAAGTAAAATAAATCCACTAACATATTTTCTTTATCTGCCTCTCTGTTTAAAGGGTTTTGCTGTTGTCTTGGTATTATGAATTGAAAAGTAATGCTTATTTCTAATATACATTCTTTGTATTCTTGAAATAAAGTATTTCATTAATATAGGCCCTTTCACATACAGAGCTATCAGGAGTTTATAAGAGTCCAGAAGATTAGCTAAATAGTTGAAAGCTTACATTATACTCTGCTGCTTTTGTTTAAATTGATTTCTAAGTAATACAAGCTTTCAAATATTCAGCACATCATTTATGGTTTTCAAATTCAAGAGAATATCTTGTCTTGAGAGCTGGTTATCCCAGTATTGCACAGTTATGTCAACTTGCTTATACAGAGTAACATAATCGATATTGCGAAACATCTTTACTGCAGAAAATATTTGTTAACAAGATGATGCTGTTACAAAATATGATTAACATTCATGGTTCAAATGTTGTCTTATGGAACTTAGTCACAGATCAGATGTCAGCATGTTATAGTCCTAAAGATTAAGCAGAAAGTCCTTTTTGTAGAATCCACCATTTCTATCACGTACTAATTTTGTTTCCTCTTTCCCTCCAAATTTCAGAAATTTTATGAACTACCAAAATTAGATTGCAATGAGAACTAAAAGACAAAAAAGACATACATTAATCTCTTTGGAATCATCTTCATCTATCCTACTGGGCTTCATTTTAGTGTAGTCCACTGGCAAGTCCCAGCAGTCGCCCTCGTTCAGTTGGTAACACCGGTTATTCATCACGGCTTGCCGCTGCGGGGACATTGGCTCCAGTGGTGTCAAAATGGTACAGCAACCATCTCGCTGCCTCTGCTTGTTCATGCTCAGATCCAACGTCCCATTTTCATCGACTTCCATATCAGGATTCTGCCAAAATAATAAAAATATTGTTAATTCGGCTTCACACTAGCAAACTGTTACCTCTCTGTGTTCTTCCATCTGATTGCCTAGCAGAATGATAAAATGCTTTTCCATTCCTGTATAGATTGTAAGCATTGAGCCCCCTCCCACACATAGCATGATGCAGTTACACAACATTAATGCTGTTAAAGTAGATTTCTTCCTGAATGGCTAATCTGATATTTGGAGGAAGAGGGGAGAGTCTTCATTACCCCTCCTGCCTGCCAGCACACAGGTGCAAAATTTGGAATGAAAAGGAGAAATCTCTAAAGGTATTTTCTTGTTGTTCTCTTTGTGCTCTTGTATTCTGTGACAGGTGAGTATCTATCAGGTAACATCTGCGTAATTCTTGTTTCCAGTCCTGACATCTGTCTGGTGTAACAAAAATCAGCTAGCATCAAATAATCTTTGTTTCTTTGTTTATTTAACATTAACAGTCAATGCTTGAATAGATAATGTCAGAAAATTAGACAGGGAGGTAGGGTACCAAAAGTCCTTTTGGACACCATTTGCCATTGAGGAAATACATTCACTTTTCATGTTCCTTCCCTGCAGATGTAAAGGTATTAACATTCCATATATCTATCTTTATAATCAGTACATTTAGGTAGCGGAATAGTTGCAACAATAGTTCTGCCAATTTCTGTGGCAACTGAGGTTCTGTGAAAAATAGGGTGAGTATGGGCCCTGACTTTTTCTATTATAGAAACAAAAAAGGGTTTTCTATTACATTAAGTGAGGAGAAAAAAGATACCTCAAAATGAAAATAAATTTTAAAAAACTAAGGACAGATAAAATAAAAGTGCCCACAGAGAATCTCTCATCCTTTCAAAAATGAAATGCTCCAAAAGAAATTTGGTTTCAAAACTAATGTGAATGAGACTGACTCCTTGTACGTCTGATGACTTTCTCTCCTCTGGAGTAAGAACAGAGCTGCAGAAAAGCACTGTGAATGCCAATCTCTCTTTCTGAATTACTGCCTTTTGTCAGAGCATATATCTAATTGCTGCTATCCTGCTAATTTAATTTAGAAAATACTTGTTTATCTTCTCAGAGTCATTCCTTCAGTTTCAATCTAGGGTGACACACTAGGAAAGAGGCCCCTTCTGGTTTTGACACAGAGTATTTTTTAGATTGTATTCCAACTTTTTCCATCATGTTGATATAGACAACAACTGCATTTATTTACATGTCAGAAAGAGATTTCCTTCTTGAACAGTATTAAATCAATTAATATAAAAGGCAGCATTTGAAAACAAAGACATCAGCCATTCTGGCTTAAATCATTATTATTACTGCTACCTACTGCTATGGGTTTTGTTTGTTATGAATGATCAAGGGGCTTTACACGATGAGGAGAAGAAAACCTTTGTCTATATGTAGAAGAACAGAACATGTCTGCCAGCTCAAAAGCTCTTCTGTAAGCACAATAAAAATGTTTCCTCTGCACTGCATCTGTCTGCTCAGCCATCTAGTGGTCTCCTACAGCTAACGCTGCACGGGTTGCTGGTGCATGTTAAATACTCACTTCTTAATAGCTATTAGAGTCGAAACTTAATGTTCATAATGAAACAAAAATATCTTTGGGTAAATCTTTAATGAATGTTAATAGTGTACTCTTTTTCTTAATATACGAAGTTTAACAACAAAAGCTTTCATTTGTGTCTGTATAGCCATTTCATAATACGCTGAGGCTCTGTGAACATACAGAACGTCAGTGACCCTGCACTACTGTTCAGTAAATTTAAAGTCACCTGTACCAGAGGATTTCTTCATTTCAAATGCATTATGCAGTGACTTAAAAACTGTGATATCACAGACAGGCAAGAAATTATAACATACAAGTAGCACAGATTTCTTTGTACTAGATCTTACAACCTTAGGTCTCATTTGTGACTTTTAAATGAAAATACATTGTTAAATCCTAATCCTTTCACGAAATGTATGAATCGGACCGTGTTTAGCAAAAAAAGATCAGTAGCGCAATTAATACCACTAGAGCAATCCAAACATCTTTTATGATTATAGATCTCACTAGTAAGAGACAAATTTAAAAAAGGAGTACATGCTATCAGTATCACCAGTTTATATACCAATCAGGATTTCCTGAGATACTAGTGAGCAATTTGCATCTTTCGTTTTTTTTTCACTCCCTGCTTTAGCAGATCACCAGATTATGTTAATTTAAAAAAAAAAAAAAAAGAAAAGCAAGATGTACTAAAGCTATTCTTCAATATTCAGGGCCACAGAGCAAGAAAGCAAGTGCAGTAAAGAGAAATCTTCATCAACAAACAGAATTACTAATTTTTACCCTCGCACAGAGATCCTGAGGCTTAGTAGAGAGGTTCTGAGGCATCTCCCTGCAGCGAGTGGAGAGATTCAGAATAGCAGTAGCAGCCATGTGCGCTGCCTCCATGTCATGAGTATAGTCAAAGCTGCTCTTGCTGCAGGTACTGCTGGCACTGCTGCCTCCACCACAACTCATATTGCTGCTGCTGCTAGGGGCATAACTGCTTGTTGTGCTGCTGGTTGGACTTGAATTCTTACAGTAGCGTTTAGCTGTGGGAAGAAATATGACAAGGATGACTCAAAAGAACGAGCATTCTGCATAAGTGAAGAGAAAAACAAACTGCTGGAGGTGAAATTTATAATGAGCAACAGTAACCAATGCAAAAAAAAAGGCAGCGATAAGAATGATGGCTGTATTTCTTGATTTCTGTCTGTGACTTTTTTATGCTACATAAGTGAGTTTGTATGAAATAACCTCCTGTAAAAATCTGCATGATGTGATCATGAATCGTTCTGACAAACAGGCTGGATTTAGAAAACAATAAAAACACAGAAACACTGCTTTTACCCCACATATATAGTCAGGCAGAAGGTAGGATCTGCTCAGCTCATTCATTTTTATTAATGAGGGGCAACATAACACTACGAGACCTTTTTATATTTACACAAGCAAACTATTAATTTAAACCCTAGACTCCCCAGAGCTGCTGGAGATCAAGCCCACTGGAAAGCTGACAGGCTTGATCTCTGTGCCACAGTGCTACTCATACAATCCCTCAAACACCCCATGCTTCCTAAAAGGTTTTTTTCTTCCTACACCACAGGCAAATATTACAACACTGGCCATCAGAAAGGAGAGGAACATGGTGGAAGAAGAAAAGTGGTGGTCACATATGAGTTTTACCATGGCTTGCACAACAGCAGAAGTATAAATTGAACAGACATAAGCGAAACGTCCCCACCTTCAAACAGCCCGAGCACCTACAACTCTTCCTAAAAACAACAGGGACCAAAGACACTCCTTCCCGCTCACGCCGAGGACAGTGGCACTCAGCCGTGCTCTGACTGACAGAAGCCACCACGGGTCCCAGAAGAGCTAAAGCATGGACAGACCCTGTGTCCAGCCTGTCTAAACACAGTGCAGCTGGGTTGCTGCTTTTAAGAAACCCTCCTTGCAGCTGAAAGTATTATAGTAATAATGCCAAACAACCCTATTAGCCCACTTATTTCTCCAACCCTCTTCCCAAATAAACTGTTTTGAAAGTGTTTATATATAAAATGCAAGAAAGTGTCAGCTCATCACCTAAACCTCAAAGTTTATGTATTTTCATGAAAAAATGAAAGTCGAGGTCAGAGGATACATACATGCATATTACAGCTACTACTTCTCCTTAAGATGGAAATGTATACTGCAGAGATCATACCATATAGCGCAGTATAACAATAACCAACTAGCATGCTGATTAGAGAGCTATAAAAAAAAGGTCAGGCCCTAGCTAGAGCTCTTCTGTGATGGGCTCCATTTAAATGCCAGACTCCTCAGGTGTATTTGTCTGAGCAGGCATACATATAATAATCTGCTCCCATGAGCACAGCCCATTTGTGAACCACAGGCTGCTGTGGTAGGGAAGCAGGGTTCAAAAGAAGAATCTGAAAGCAAAATATCTCTGCTAGAGCTTATGTCATCCTCCTTTCTCTAAAAAACTGAAAAAAATCATGCCATTATTTTTACTGTAAAGGAAATAGTGTTTCACTTAATTCATAACAGATGGAGCTTTCTCAGGAAAGCCACATAATGCACAGGGTGTGATTTTTTTTTTAAGTGAAGTGAATGCTAAACATTTATCACATTTCTTTGTTTTGAACACATAGTAGCACTATTCTAGCAGGGTATCCACTAATAATAAACCTGTGAACTATTTCTCAAGAGTTTCATTATTAATATAGTAGTCAGTAGTGGTCATTAAAAATTCAGCATTTATCCATTGCTACTTTGTAATGGTATTCAAGACACATAGGAATTTTCCTATACTTAAGGAAGGAAATAATTGAATAATTCAGTTTCTACTGTGTTAACACAGCAAGCACCCTGTACCACTGAACTTGTCAAATTAGAAATATCTTTTAAAATTCTTATGAACAAATAAGACTTCTGTCACTTGCAAAAAATGTTAGTCTTGTCATGGCAGGTCACATTTAGACAGACGTAAGCGACATACTACATGGGAAATTATATATATGAGAATGTGTGCTGAAG